TTTCTAGGCTACAGATTTGTTTTTAGATGATTTCTGCTCAGAAAGGCAAAGATTGCTTTCGTTTTCATCTCCTTTAAAAATAAAATTTGACTATATTTATAAATTATTCATAATTTTCCCAGATTTTAGTATTTGAACACATGAACTTTTTATGAGGCACTATTTGCATTTTTTAAATTGTTTTAACTTTATTTAAGTATGAAGATTTTATACTAAAACCAAATCTGCATTATTTATATACAGAATTGTTAGGAAAATCGCCAAAAAGATCCCGTAAAAAATGCAAAATATCAGGAAGATATCATAGTGCTCATTTACAAGGATTTGCATACTTCACGACATTTCCTTTTTTAATAATTAGTGGATGTTAAGTAACATTTTATAAAGATTTAAATGTGTATGTTTAAGAGTATTGTATGCTTCATTTTTTTTAAGAAATCGTTTCATTCTACCAAACATGTAACTTACGTGGCTTTCATGTTTGGTAGAATGAATGTTAAGTAACATTTTATAAATGTTAAGTAACATTTTTTTATGTGGTGGATGTTAAGTAACATTTTATAAAGATTTAAATGTGTATGTTTAAGAGTATTGTATGCTTCATTTTTTTTAAGAAATCGTTTCATTCTACCAAACATGTAACTTACGTGGCTTTCCGTAAATAAAGATAATTTGAAAACAGCATCCTGATGTTTTAATACATTCTGAAACGGTTTTTCGTTTATTCACGACAAAATGTCGCTCAACATGTTCAACAGTTACGATCACCAAATACTGAAATGCGAAGTTGCATGCGAGAAAGCATAAATGGAAGTGGAAAATGACACTGGAAGAACCGCAGTACCCCAAGAGTGAAATAGAAACTAAAAAATTAAATACTGACGTAAGCAAAAGTAGGAAAACTGCAATAGCCGGAAAAGGCAAATTATGGCAAAATGCATTTCCGCGTTCCATGGAAGATGGTGCGAAACTAATATCGTTAACAAGGGAATCTGCACTCATATATTAAACAAGATTCCCGGGTATCAAGATGAGCTGATGTGGCAGGGGTGGTTAGAATTTTAGCATTATTGAGATTCAATTTATCCCAAAAATGCAAAGAATGTGTAGCAATAAATTTATCGCATTCTTGAAAAGGGACTTAACCGCCGTGTTTCTTTAGTCTGAATTTTAAAACCAGTCTGGCTTATAAACTAGCCAAGGATTCACTGGCAAAGAATTCATTCCCTGTTTCACTCTCGGCTACCACGGTTTCTCTAGTTTTCTATTTTTTTTTTCACTTTTATTTATCCTTTTTCGTTGGCAACCATACAAATTTTTTTTTAATTTTAAATCACTTTAATTTTCTTCATTCACGTCTGCCGAGTCTTAAAAATCGGCGCCTTTTTTTAGCTCGCCAAACTTTTGCTTCAAACGTTGCCATTCCCAGGGCTCTCTAGACGTTAATGACTCCTGTCGTAAATTTTTGAGAACTCAAAACATGTTGACTTTTATTTTCATATTTTTTTACGATAATGAATTTTTTATCTTCCCTCTTCAGTTTCTGGGGATTATTCATTTAGTGATACAGTACATTGTTATTGTTGTTGATCAATTCAAGGCGTCTGTATAGATAAGTTTTTTTTTACTACGTCAGAATGTTTACTATGTCAAATTAAAATATGTCGTATTAAAATTAGTTTTACGTAAAATAATGGTTATGGCTCTTAGATTGAAAAAAAGTATAATAATATATAATTCATCAAGACTTTCTAAAAAATTCAAAGCAGTACATTTTTATTTATTCATTTATTAATTTTTATATTTCATTTTATTTTGTTTTATTCATTTATTTATTTTTTGACTGCTGCTCTGAAAAACATTTTTTAGAGTGTTAAGCAATTTCGTCTACAATTGAAATTTCAAACGTCGAATGAGACAATAGAATGACCAGAGGGGTCCTGGAATCTAAGTTAAGTATTTACAAAGTCAAAAATTTCGAAGAAGTTCACGTCTCCGCCCTATTCGAAATTTTTGAAAAAAATATATTTTTTACTCATTGATCTAAAATCCATTCTAGATATGTTTTAGTGTATACTGAAGGACATATTTCAATAGGATTTATATTTTACCCTTATTTTATTTTTTTCCTTAAATTACTCAAGTAATAAACTGGACTGAAAATAGTTTTGACAACTGCGCAACAATGAGCAATAATGAAAATGTCTTAAAAACGAGAACATTAAAGAGCTGACACAGTAAAAAAAAACTTATCTGTACAGACGCCTTGAATTAATCAACAACAATATGCTAATATATATATATATATATATATATACACTCATGGACAAAAAAATTAGCGCACCAAGAAATAATTGCGCCCACCCATCGACGCCTCCGTTTGGAGTTTTGCCGTGTACGAAGAAGCAGGACTGCAGCAGAATGTAACCAGGTCGTCTTTAGCGACGAATCCAGATTCAATCTCAGCAGTGATGTCAATCGTGTTCGTGTGTGGAGACCCCGTGGTGAACGCCTCAATCCCCTCCCACAGCTCGTGTGATGGTATGGGGGGCCATGCCTACAATACATGGTCACCCCCTAGTATTGCTCCGTGGCACCATAACAGCCCAGCGGTATGTCCATGAAATTCTGCAACCACATGTGTTGCCACTCATGCAACGGCTTCCAGGAGCCATTTTTCTGCAAGACAATGCTCGGCCTCATACGGCAAGGGTGTCACAAGACTATCTCCGTACTGTTATTACCCTTCCTTGGCCTGCCCGATCCCCAGATTTGTCTCCAATCGAGCATATCTGGGATCATTTGGGACGGCGAGTTGGGCATCCCACGAGTTTGAACGAACTAGAGGCAAGGTTACCGCAAATATGGAACGAAATGTCTCAAGACATCATACAGAACTTGTATGTCTCAATGCCCGATCGTATCGCATCATGCATTCGCGCTAGAGAGGGTCCAACGGGGTATTAACTCCTCCGTTCTTTTGCCCTTTTCTCTGAAATAAATTATCCTTTTCCTTTAATTTTCTAATCATTTACTTATATCAAAGTAGTCATTACGTATGTAAAATTTCGTTTCATTTTGACGACTCCTTCTACGTGCGCTAATTTTTTTGTCCATAAGTGTATATATACCACTGGAAAGTTTGCCACTAGAAAAATTAAACGAAAACGTTGAACTTACCATAGCAAATCTAGTACTATATTATTGGAAAAATGCTTGGGATGATTTATTTTGGCCAGTTCGTTGGTTGAATATAAACTACACAGAATTGTTGAAAGTAAGCAATTTCTTCTAATATCACTCGTCCAAAGATATGAGTTTAGCCTGCTCGTACTCCTCGTATAGACTTGATTTGTCGTATTCTTGTTGTTCTAATATTTTATTATGTTCTTCTTGCACATAACTTGAAATCTTTTCTAACCTGTGTCGCAATTTGACTGCTGCACCAATGGCATAAAATATAGACGCGCCCAATATTACAAAAATGAAGGATACTACACCAATTATCCACGGTCCTAGAATATCGGACGCACCAAAGTAAATGCTACTCATCGCAAATATCAACGACAGAAATAAATTTGAAAAGATATTATTTCAAGAGAAATATTCTCAACCGAGATCTACTACGAAGTAAAACAATTTTTTTAACATAAATTTATACGAATTTGTTATCTTTTATATGAATTTATTTCATTCTTATCTAAAAATGATAAACAATTCAGTTTGATAAGAACTATTTCAAATAAAATTTATACTTCTGTAAGTCGGATAAGGTCGTTGATGCGTTTTTTCATAACAAATGAATGTAATTGATAACAATAGCTAAATGAATATACCAAAGCTCTTAACTAATGTATTCTGACTCTTGTGCTAATAAACTTCAACTAACCAACCAACTCAACTAATGGAATAAGTGATATTATATTATTGATTATTATATTGTGATCAAACTACGTAGTAAATTATATTTATAAAATATTAAGCTTGACTAAAATAAACCAATTTTTTTATGCAAAATATATTAAAATGTGGCAAACTGCCAAGCGTCGTATTTTACTTGATATTATTTTCTCACTTTAATTCTCTATGATGGTAGTTTTAATTGTAATATTTTGAGAATCTCGTTTTGTTAAGATTTGATTTTTGATTTTCAAAAGTAACAGAAAACTATATATTGAACTATTGTTTCGAAGGTTTAAGCTTTAAAAAAGCAATTGTCACATTATATTTTAAGGCTTTTTTTTCGAATGCTCCGTTGCAATATGAAATTACGTTTCTTTGCGAATAATTTGCTATTTTTATAACTGTTCTGAGTTTGCAACTGTTAACTTATAACTGTTAGGTGAAGTTTATCCTATCTAAAGCCAGAGCTATTCACGAACGCTTTGTGAAAATAGACAGTGTTTGTGGTTTAATTTTTAATATTTAAAATTTTACTCCAATGCTGCCTTACCTCTGGGCTCATAAAAATGTGAATAAGGTAGTTATTTTGACAATTTTCATTTAGGGGGGAAATGTCGCCAAATTGACGCTTTTTAAAAAGTTTAATAACTTTTAAAATATTTGTTATATGTCTGTTCTAAAGCCATTATAATTGTTCACGACAAGAATATATGTATATAGTTTAAAATCATCGCATTGCTTCAAATGTAAGACACTTAAACTATGGCTTTTTTATATTCCTTGGTGGAAAATAAGAAAGCCACAGTTTCGAAAAAACGGAGTTTAACATTTTCTCTTTTGTGCCAAAAGCTACAAACTAACTATCTAACACTTTATGTAGACTGGATTTGTTGACTGACAATCCAAATACCTTTGCTTTCCATCACGCTATTGATGTTTTAAACTATAAATAACTGTTTCATTGTGGTTCCGTTTACATATTTACAAAATTTTTTGATAAGCATAATGAAAACCGCTGTTGATTAGTATTCATTAATGAAATTATTTTCCATGAAGAAATCGCGTTCCCAAAATATTAAACTTTGAGAGCTTGTATTTTAATAATGTTAAAAATATGCAGAAAAATATTGTATTTCAGCAACAGTTAACAATATGACTTTTGACAAGTAGGCTATAAATACAAAAAAAAGTGCTGAAATAATGTTGAAAAAGCTTTAAAAAACAGCCGTAGGAAGAGGATGCTTAAATATTTCCTCAACAAATTATGACACATTGTATATTATATATCACTCTGCATGAAGTTATGACCTATTTAAACTATGCACTTGAATACTTTCCTTGTATATTATATTGCTGTATGAAAAGGTACTTGAACATTTTTCCTGTTCTCTTTCACTGAGATAGATGGACATTTTCCCTTAGTATATATAGCAGAAAGTTGAAATTAGAGGTAAAAGTACTTATCTTTGTTGGAAAGAAATGCAGTCTTTCCAACTTCTGTTGCTGTTAATGGCTATTAACCTATGTTTAGCCATGTTTCATCCGAAAGGTAATTAATGCAATTTCGTTAGTTTTATCTATGTGATGCTCCTTCCTTGACAGCGATTTTATAATAATTTTCTTTCCAAATTTAGTATCTATATTTTGATGCTTGTTCATTTTATTTAAACTTTGCTTGACCCATTCTATGATCAAACTATAAGAAATCGTGTGAAGTTGCGGCAGAATGACGTCATACTCCTGGTTTTAAACAATTTTTTTGTGTGATACGTCACTTTGATGTAAACAGTTTTTTCCAGATATGTTTAAACCTGGTTGTAAAATAATCTAGTAAATGTCTATTTGAACGGATGAAAAAAATGAAAATTTGAGGGTTTCTTTTTTATTTAATAATTTTCGGTTTTCAGAGAATTTTATTTGGTTACAATTCCCCTCGTATAACTGTTTAAAAAAATTTAAACTCTACTTTTAATATTATCAAGTGATAGGCGCGGTAGTTTTCGGCACGTCCTCCAAAACTTACATTTTTTGACGTTTTGTTTAAAAATTAAATTTAAAAACGTCAATAATTTATTTCATTTGTTTGGTGGCTTACCGCATCAAAAATTAGAGTTCAATTTTAGACATCGGATCGTATAATTTCATTTAGTACTCATTTTAACCTTTTGTTTAACCTGTTTTAAAACTAGTCGCTTTTCTTTTAACCAAGCTATTTTGATTAAAACTGAACTGCCAAATTTTAACCTAAATATATTGATTTAAATGCAGTTACTGATTTTAACATGGTTTTAGGAGCGATATAACCAAATCATGGCTCGGGAGACAAAAACTTACACCACTTATTCAGTCAATAAATTTAAACAAATAAACTAATCAAAATTCCTTCGATGTTTGAAAATTAAATTTAAAAATTTCAATAATTTATTTCATTTACTTGGTGGCATACCACATCAAAAATTTTAGTTTGCCGCATCAAAAATTTAGTTTAGTGTTTAATTTTAGGCATCGGATTGCATAATTTCATTTAGTACTAATTTTAACCTTTTGTTCCTGTTTTAAAACTAGTCACTTCTCTTTTAATCTAGCTTTTTTTTATCTAACCACCATTTTTTTTATTAGCCATTATTTGTGTGATTTGCCTTTGATTTTTTTATTTAACTGCCAAGTTCTAACCTAATTATACTGATTTAAATGTATTTATTTCTTTTAACAGGATTTTAGGCACGATATAACCAAATCACGGCTCTTGAGACAAAAACTTAGACCATTTATTCAGTCAATAAATTAAAACTAATCAAATAATCAAAATTCTTTTGAAAAATAATACATTTTAATTTTAAAAAATATCTATAAATGTTTTACTTTTAGCGTCTCCTGAAAGAAATGCTTACTAGAGGTAAACCTTATTTATTCTAAAAGTGTGAAATTCTTACTTTTCTTGGTCTGAAATGGCTTTTTTATAATCGGCGTTTTCAGAAACTTTACTGAAACTTCTTCAAGCTGAAACGTTTGTACAGTGTTAGGAGCTCAAAATTTCCTATTTTCGATAAAATTCAAATATATAAAAGTGTTTGCGACTCTTGATTTTTTTTTCTCGTTGTTGTTATTTTGAAATAAAATGAAAGATAATCTGAAAAAGAGCGCCGAGAGAGAATGTTTGGAAAATATTTCTATTCAAGGCACAGATACGTGCTTAAAATAGAATTTACAAGCTCCAAATTATCCTGAAATTCGGGATTGTAATTACTCAGAAAGATATTGACGTGAATAAGTTCATTCTGAACAGTTGCTAAAACACTCGTTTCTATATTTCGATTAGAATAATTCGGAATGAATTGGTTTTGTCATATCTATTTACTATGCAAGTGACTACAATATTTCACGTTAATAATGAAGTACATATGTTAGTATTAATTAGTTTCAATTCCTGAAATCGGAAAATAGTGTTTTTTTTTGGATGAATAATAGCTTTTATTTTGCTCAAAATACTAATAGAACTTGTATTAAACAGCAACTAAAAAATTTCTGAAAATGTGAGAAATTTCTCACAATCTCTAAGTGAAATTCATTTATTTTTTCAAATGAGCAGAAATATTTATAACTAAACACTACATTCATTCTATACTGTTTACATATTTAAGCTCTATTCACTTTACCATGCACAAGCATATAACTGATTGGCGTTTGAAGTTTTTATTTGATATTATTTACTTTTTTAATGTACTCAAATATCTCTTCATGTTATTGGCATTTTTAAGGATAAGACAAAGACATCATACTGAGCCTTTAATTTAGAGACAAAATTTCACATTCATCCTAACTAGTATAATGATTTTAAACCTTTGTTTACTGGTGATTCTAAATCAATTGACCATGCCGCATCGTCTGTTGTATACGTAGGGACCGAGGGTGTGCGGTATAGTCTTCGTTAAACTGTTCTACCGTAAAGTGCTCGACTTCGCGTGCAGGTCGTCGGGCTACCGAAGCGGGGGTGCCATCCCCTCTGCAGAGGATCAAAATTGTGATGACATGTCTTCGGATCTTTCTCAGGGATGTTTCCCAGACCGTCGCCAATAGCCCATTGTGCAGCTCTAGTGCGACGTAAATGAACAACAACAACAGCCACGCTAAATCGATTGCAGATATAAACAATAAGTTAAATCAAATGAAAAAATTAACCCAATATATGTAGAAAATGTGTTGAAAATATGTAGAAAATATGAAAGTAATAATTATTAGACTGCGCATCGGTCATACTCGTCTCACTCATAAGCACCTTTTATTTAATGAACAAGAGTCATTATATGCCACATTCAAAGATCTAATAACTTCAAAACACAGTTTGAGCCCATGCCGTACATATAAATCAAGCAGACGACGTCATCTGATTTCCTCGAGCTGTCTATTTTACTTGGAGACCCTCCACACCAAAATATTATTATCTGCCTTAAAGATCTCACTTAGATTTGAATTTACGGTTAACTTGCTTTTAACAATTATTTAGTACTCTTCAATCTATAATAATAATTTCAATATTACTGACCTGACGCTTCTGACTTAACTTTGTTGTCTTGATTTTAGTAGAGTTTTCTAAATTTTAACTAAGAGACTTTGTTTTAAACCTAGTTTAACGTGCGGTAGCGCCAAGACATAGCTCTTGCGCCAAAAATATACACCAATCAATCAATTATCGAGCAAGGTTAACAGAAAATTATTCGTTGACGATTTTCGAGTAACTTGCAGATTTAATAATGATTTATATTCAATTGAATGAATAAATGTCTTGTTTGCCTACAACGTAAGAACTAGTGGCGAAGTTTCAAAACATATATCATTTTAGAGACATCAAACAGAAAAGAGAAATATATGGAATATGTGTTTCAATATTGTGTTACTATCGCTATTTCCAATGTCATTGGCTAGGACACTTTATTCTGGACGATGATGAGATTTAGTTGACAAAATACCGCAAGGTTTTCAACTGAAACTAGCTTACTGAACTAACAAGGTTTTCAAAACTGAGAAAAAGAATGACAACTTTCCCAACATGCCTAAAATGACTTTGTGGCAACAACACTGGGACCTTCAAAGTGAAAACAAATTACACACTATTAAATCTATGCTAGGGCCTTGGCCTGTTTTGCAAACGCGAAAGACAGATGTCAAGCTGACCCGTCTACGCATAAGTCATATCCGACTGACTCAACTTCATTTGCTTTTCTGGGATCTACCTCCAAAACGCAATACTTGTAGGGTTTTACTTTCCCTCCATCATATTCTAAGCATTTGCCCTTGTTTTAACCAATATCGTATTAAATATTTTGGTAGCTTCATTTTATGTATGACTTGTTAGATCAAGACTTGTTGAATGAAACCCATCATCCTAACATATTTGCATTTCTACGAGCTATTGGTATTTCAAATTGTATATAACTGCTTCATTCTAATTAAAATTTGATCAGATTTTATTTAATTTTGTCAGTTTTGCCTGTGCAGTTTTATTAGTAATCACCATTTTAGCTTCTTATATTTATGTATTTTAAGAATGTAAATGTAAAGCATGCACTTTCTAAAATGTTTTAAAACCGCTTGTTTGACGCAGCATGTCTTTTTCTGGACCTTGTGCCATTAACCCATACTTTCAATTCAATTCTTTCCGACATGCTCACTATTATAATTGTTTTATGGTAAATGTCTAAAAAAAAACGAAGGATCCAGTTACTTAGTTAATTGTGTGCCGCTGTGTGTCCTTTTTTGGACTCTATGCCATTAAAAACTACATTCGTCATTAAAACCTACATTCAATCCAGTAAATTCTTTGATGACATCAATAAATATTTTATTAGATAAAATTCGCAAAAATGGGAAAATATAAGAGATGTAGTAATCATATTACAAATTTTAAAAGAAAAATTAGTAGATTATATTTATAAATTTAACTGGATGTTTCAATTGTAAGTTAAAAGAAAAACAAATTCCGTAATTAAAACCTTTAAAATTAATCATTTTAATCAGATTTAGTTTACTGCACAGACAGATTCACTTACCTAAGTGAATATATAATATCGTTTACGTTTGACGTAATATAACCAATTCTGTTTCATTTATAATCTATGAACAATCAATTATAATCCATAAACAATTTCGAAGAAAATTAAATCCCGTAACAGAAATTCTAGAATTAAACTTCTAAAGAATTAATGTGTTTGTTTGCGAAGATTAGTTTCTCCTAATAATATATATTTCAAAGAATTTTTCAAACTGAAATATTCTTAATTTATAAACTAGGAATTAGGTTGACAAAATATTGTAATTAAAGTAATCTTCGTTGGAGCAGGGAAAACGACAGTGAATTATTTGGCGAATAAGTAACATAAGATTTTAAGTCCATCGAAAACAATTTAAAATTATTAAAATTTAAATCTTTCATTCTGCTCAAGCTCTAAGTTTTATCTTGCCAACAGGGAATTAAAAATATATAATTCAAAGTAATTTCCTTACGAAATTGGCTGTTTTAATTCTTGAATTGACATTTAGCTATTTAAAGAATGCCTCTTAGGAATAAAACTTTGCAAATTGTGTGAATGATGCGGCACTTTCAATAATGAATAATGACGCTTTCAATTTAAATCATTCAATTATATTTACAGACCTTTTTTTGCAACTTTTTTTTTAAATTTTTTTGTAGTTTATAAGAAAAATTACTATTAATTCTATTTAAATTTTGAGACATTTCTAAAATTTCTTGTTTTTCGAAAAGAAATTTCGAAATTAATAACATTTCAGTAATGTGCGAGAAGAAAAACAGAATCACGCTGAATAACTTACGATCTAATGAATGGATCTTCACGTTCTATGTCTCGGTAATTCGAGAAGGTGACCTCATATATGCTAATGAGACAATATTTTGATTCTGACACAAAAATGTATTTCTCTGAATAAGCATTTTTTCCGACTGCCTTGGATTTCTGACCCCCAAAAAATAGGGGGTAACCGTAATCAGGGAGATATGGTATCAATAGTTTGGTCAGGAGATAGGTCCAAAATTTAGACCCTTTAACGTTAAATTTACTTTTTGGGTATTTCACCGCATCTCGAGAACTTTTCAAGCACATTGACAAAATTTTGAACACAATTTCACTTTCGCCCTAAAGCACATTTCTTAACAAAAATACAAAAAATGGATAATATATACGAACTTAGAGTTGCGTTGATGCATTGATACCTAATGTAAATGATTTAAATCGATTTGTATCTTTTGACATTCCTTTACTGTATAGCCAAAGACATTCTTTTACGGTTGATTCATTGATACCAACTGTAGTATAGCCAAATATGGTATTCAAATTAGTTATTTATAGTGTAAGAGCATCTGTTTCGTACTGTTTTATCAATTTCATGCAGTTTAGTAAGAAAAATTTGTAACTTTTGATTTGTTTCAAAACCATTTGTTTAGTGCAGCATGTTTTTTTTTATTATTATTATTATAATTCAATCCAGGTTGGCAGCTATGCTTCAGACACATTTCTTGACGTACGTAGTTACGGTTCTCTTTTTATATAATTATCTGATAATAAAAAAGACCAATTAAAGAAAAAAAAATTGTAAAGACATAAATTGAAGCATTAGCTCAGGCCTTTATATTTTGGTAATTAGGAAAAAAAATGTTAGTCGCATTTTATGGCGCCGTTGTATGTTTGTGATAAAAAAAAATCACACAAAATTCTTAAAACTGGAGTATAATCTATACAGTCATTAAAAACGTTATTCAAAGCACCTCAATAAAAATGTGAGACCTCAGTAAAGTCCAAGAAATTAATATTAAACGGTAATATTATTATCGCATGAAAATTAATATAATCTTAGTATAATTGTAATATGATCCTAATAATAAACTGTATTATAATCATAATTATAAACTGTAATATAATCATAGTCAGTCCCTGGCTTTTGAACATCGAGGCAAATGAGCTATATGAAATTAATAAAGCAGTCAATTAATTTGTTAGTAATAATTTAAAGTATGAAAGCATAGGTAGGAGCTACGTACAGGTCACCAAATAGTGCTAGTATGTTCTTCTTTTGTAAATTAAGGGTACCTTTAACATTTAAACATACTATTATATATCTAATCACTTGGCACAGCATGTCCTATTTAGACCCTTTGAATCCCACACTCAATTCGAATTGCGCAGACGTCTTTAATAAGCAAAAACAATTGAATCACATTACTGTTCAAATCTAATTGCGCAATCTTGCGTAAATTAGTATTTTACAGGTTATCCGAAAAAGGTACAAAATAAGAACATTTTTTATAATTTTTTTTATGTAGTGTTTGAATGTTCTATTGAAGATGCCATTTACAGAAAAACACCAGATAACACAAATAGTTTCAGTTTTGAATTGTGTATACTGATCATAGGTTAGAGTCCCCTTGCCAACAGGCTAACCATGGGAGGTTTTCGCGTTTTTCCACTCCATGTAACGCAAATGCTGATTAGTTCCATCAAAAAGTCCTAAACGAAGTCAAATTTATCCCAATGCTTGATCCAGGAGTTCCCTTGTCTTCTGAATTGGGTTCAAAATTATTAGGCTACGGAATTGGGCATTGGTAGTAGTAAACCCAAAAAATTGGATCGGCTGTTCAACGACGATTATAAAATAAAAAAAATAAGAATTAGAGTCGCGGTGGCTCAGGGGATAGAGCGTTCGCCCTCCAGTGAGGTGTAACGGCTTCAAATCTCAGCAATGGTTGGTCACTACGAATTCCGCACCCAGCTAGCACCGAACACTGTGATGACGTAAAATATCCTCAGTGGTACACGGATCACGGGTTAGAGTCCCCTTGACGTCAGGCAAACCGTGGGAAGTTTTCGAGGTTTTCCTCTCCATGTGACACAAATGACTGGTTTTCCTCTCCACGAGGTTTTCCTCTCCATGTCCATCAAAAAGTCCTCCCCGAAGGCAAATTTCTCCCCATACTTGATCCAGGAGTTCCCTTTGTCTTCGGAATTTAGTTCAAAATTACAAGGCTAAGGAGGTGAGCATTAGTAGTCGTAAACCCAAAGTTAGGTCTGCTGTTCAACGACGGTTATAAAATAAGAAACGAAAATGTTAAACTGAGTATAGATTAATTTTTGTTGTAATTAACCGTTGGCATTTTTTTGTAACTTTTCTTAACTAGTGAAGAAGAAAAAGAAAACAACATTTCTGTGACTTCAACGATTATTCTATCCCTAACGATAAGTGTTTGTTTACTCTAATAAGAAAGTACAGATTGAGTTGTATACCAGCCAATTTTCACTCTTTTAAAAAAAGTTTTTTCCTAGTGGTAGGGCAATATCATTTCAATTGAGATTATAAGATGGTATTTCGTTAAAATTTCGTCAATACTTAAACACTTTTTCCGAGAGCCAACAGGCTTACTATATATACATGTTTAAATATTATATATAAATGTAATGGTAGTCAAAATCATTTAATATAACATTTATTTAAATAAGAATAAAGTGTGAATGTATAAATTTTGCTACCACCTTAAATATAAAAATAAAATCACATGGAAAATCCGGAAAAGTTGACAGGTATGGAGTTGAATTGTAATAGAATATTTTTAAAATGAACATTAATTTAATATTTTTAATAGCATATTTTTAATTGGATATTTTTAGTTTTATATTTATGCTTACGTTTAAACTGTGTTAACTTTGAACTCGCGAAACTGCGAAAGTGAGACAGTAAATATTTAATTTAGTTAAAATTCTAATTTAATTAAAATTCTAATTCAATTAAATGAAGATGGAATAGAGTGGATAGAAATCTATTCTAAGTATTTAGAATTTGAATATAACACTGTGATTCAAACATAACAGCATACTAACTGTTTAAATGTCTATTCATAAACTTATAACATTATTAAAGAGGAATTCTAAAGTTAAACAATTTACAAAGATTATTTTATGAAGGTCAATCCATTCTTTTAACCTTTACAGGAGATTTAGACGGACTTGAGGAAAATGTATTAATCAGAAACAGACGGTCAATGGATCGATCTAGTCCAAGTACTAGATCAAATTCCAATTCTAGTGGTGGTGGTAATAGTCGTAGACAAAATCGAAATTCCAACGATCAAAACTCGTCAAGCTCTGGAAACAATAGAGGAAGTGGGAGGAATTCAAATCGTACTGGAGGGAATAATGGTAATGGAGGAGGAAGAAGACGAGGAAATGGAAACAATCGCAGGTCTACCATGGATTCAAGTTCTTCCACAACACAGATGGATAGCGATTATTGAGCTATTTTTTGAAAAACTTTTTTTTCCAGTGTGATTATTGAATAAAAATTTTATATTATCTGCATTTTTAATTGTAGAACTGAGTACTTGATTATAATTTCCTAACCATTTTAAAATTATTCAAGCCTAGTATGAGTTAGAGACATTCCAAAATCCTGCATGAGAAATTGGGAAAAAATATCATGTACATAATTAAATATAACATAGAATATTTATAAACAAACTACAATTTGCATGCACGCCCTTTACAAGCAAATATTTCTAAATAAGTAGGTATTTATTTGATCCATATTCTAACATCTTGTCGTAATAATGATTTTTATTATTATAATCATAATAAGAAAAGTAATTAGTGTGCTTTACTGTCTAGTTTATACCACGTCGTTTAGTTTGGCTTAGCATAACCTATTAGGGTCGGGTGTATTAAACCATATAACTAACTCAACTCGTTCAAAGCTATAGGTTTCCATGCATCGATTTCGATTTTATTAACAAACTACTTTATATTTTGGTAATTAGGAAAAAAAATGTTAGTCGCATTTTATGGCGCCGTTGTATGTTTGTGATAAAAAAAAATCACACAAAATTCTTAAAACTGGAGTATAATCTATACAGTCATTAAAAACGTTATTCAAAGCACCTCAATAAAAATGTGAGACCTCAGTAAAGTCCAAGAAATTAATATTAAACGGTAATATTATTATCGCATGAAAATTAATATAATCTTAGTATAATTGTAATATGATCCTAATAATAAACTGTATTATAATCATAATTATAAACTGTAATATAATCATAGTCAGTCCCTGGCTTTTGAACATCGAGGCAAATGAGCTATATGAAATTAATAAAGCAGTCAATTAATTTGTTAGTAATAATTTAAAGTATGAAAGCATAGGTAGGAGCTACGTATAGGTCACCAACTAGTGCTAGTATGTTCTTCTTTTGTAAATTAAGGGTACCTTTAACATTTAAACATACTATTATATATCTAANCTTTCTGCTGATTCTCGTCATTGTTTTAAATGGAAACAAGAAAAACAAATCCTAAACATAAAGGTATTACAAAATTTATACTATACTGAAGCTAAAGCGAAATTCATTAATTCCCAGTCCTGACCATATGTTTCATATTCTGCTGAAGGTTCTAACTCGAAATGTATAGGCATCCAATATGATATTAATGAAACAGACTCGCATAATACTAAACTCAAAATCAAACTGAAACCTAGACAAATCAAAAACAGTATCTTCCTTATCTCATCAGCAGACACAAAATCCGGAACAATTTCTAGCTCCTAGCTCAATACCTTCACAAAGCACTTCAGAAAATCAGAAATACTTGAAATGGACTCCAAAAAAATTTATTTCAACAGAAATTAACCCAGTCCCAACTCGTTTCCAAACATAAATATGTACCAAAAAGTAGACTAAACAGATTTCATAAAAACAAACTACATAAATCAATCAAAAAATCATCAAGTACATCAATCTTCTCAATCAGGTGCAATGAGCACTGATGAAAATACTGCAGATGAACCTCCGAACCCACAAATGCAAATCGATGAAGGGTTGGATGCGCCACCTAACCTTTGCCCAGAAAGTACAAAACCTACAATTCGAAGGCATTGGCCAAAATAATATCCTGCAATTGCGGAATCTATAATGCTACGAAACCTGGCGCCATTGTCATTATTATTAATTCTCACTAAGATGCAATTGTGTTTCAGAAACCTCACATTAAAATCAAATCAACAACTAAATTTTGTGGCTATTATGTTAATAGAAGAGACAATACGCACAATAATAAAGCTTAAGGCGGAATCATAATTATGACTTCAACTATGTATCCATATCATACAATAATACTCAACTCATAATCATATTATATATTACTAGATCCCACAAGAGAAGTTTTATAAATTTCAAACCTCTATAAATTATTCTCCAGTTTTCTCCGCCGAAGTAGTGAGATATCATTCCAATGCTATAGCTTTTATTCCCATACTCATTCTTCCCAAACCCTATTGACACATTGCAAGTTTAGAATTGGTAAGAAATTTTCTCTAGTTCTCAAATAGGCAATCGAAAATATTTTTTCTGAAAAAAAAACATATTTTCCAGAAAAATATTTTTTCGTTAAATGCGGATTCCTGTTCAGCGCACCAAAAAACAAGAAAAAGACATTTTTAATTTTCAATAAAAAAAAGTACTTTTTTTAAGCAATGCTCCAAATTTCAAGATGGTATGCCAATGGAATCCTAAAAAAAATGGAATTCCATTTTATCATTGACATAATCCATGGAGTTATATTAATAAGCCACATTTTTCGTACCAAAACTGCACTCAAAGTTACAGTTAATGTTGTTTTAACAGGATGATTCATCCCTTTTAATTTAGGAAATACATTTTTCTTTGCGATCCCATAAGAGTACCACATTGAATTAACATAAACATAGCTAATACATGAAAAAAACATAGCAGTTGCATAACCGTTAACAGCCTATAGCAACACAAACAGGGATTAATATGAAGGAGATTAATACAGTATAGATGTATTACAATATTTTTTTATCTTATAACTAACAATTAGTTATAGTTTGATGTTTTTTCAACTGACTATGCCTGTTTATTTTGTAGCGTATCTACCACTACAAAATTACAACTACAATTTACTAGTATATAAGACATGTTAACTCGATTCTATGGTGAGGTACCTTTTCATAGATGACAGTTGACATGGTCGAAAGCTCCGCCCCCCACAATTTGATTAAAACATAAACAAATAGAACACAAACTCAATTTTTTTATGAAAGCATGCAATATCCTGCGCTTTATTGAAATGAGCTGTTGACGAATAAAAATAGGTGGGATAAATACTTCGCCTACATAAATATCTAAAAAGGAACTTAATTATTTCCTTTCAAATAAAATATAAAAGCGAGATATGCAATGTATTGCAAATTAATTATTCCGAGAAAATATGTTTCAAAACGATTTGATTAAAAATGATAATGCAAAGATGAGGTATGTTGGCTGACTTTAAAACAGGAGTTAATACATTTTAGCTAAGAACAATAATAACACTTGTAAATTAAAATTTATCATATTTATTTTTCTTGGTGGCCTATATTTTTCTCGTCATTTGGTATAACTGAACGATAGTGTGTAATAAAGATTCCCATCATTCAGATAGTGAGAAACAGGAAATGAGATGCAGCTAAGGAAATGAACTGCCTCTTAGTCGTCTTTAAAAGACTTCGATTTTTCTAAAAGGCTCTTAAAAAGCCCTAAATGGTTAGTGATGAAAAGCTTAAGTAGATGCTTGATTCCTCCTTAAGTTTTGGAGGGTTATTATGCGTCAAAATTTATGACAGATTAAACTGAATAAAAATGAAGCATTAATCAGCGCAATAAAGCCCAAGACTGGCAGTTCTTTTCATATAAATGAGTTAATTAAGCGCATTTTCATTGGAAAATATATTTTAATAACCTTATTAGTACCGCACAGATATTAATCTGTAAGATATGTGTATGAAATAAAAAATACTGAACAATCTGTTTAATAAAATAATTATTAGAAAATAGCTGTTTCGACGTCTTCAAGAGATTAATATTTAGGATACAAAAATTGCTTGTTTATAACGAGTTTTTAAACAAAAAAGTATTGGCTTTCCGCTATAGCGGCAAAAATTCGTTTGTGGAAAATTAATTTTTCTGTTACTAAAATTAACAAAGTTATGCGAAAGAGGACAAAATGGAAGACGTTTTTAATTATGTCTGATGTTAATATAGAAAGTGAACATCATTTGACTTTATTTTCCTCTTCCAATCATAATCCTTTAAGTTATCAAAGCATGTGCAAGCGTATAACCACCAGCTAAATTATCTTCCTATTTAAAAATGAAAACATCTCTTGCTATTATCGGCAATTATTGACATATACTTCAAATAAATGTACCGTGCGGTGCGCAGAAAAATAAATGGACCTACCGGAATAACTTTTGATCTAAAGATCGAATCTTCATGTTCTAGGACTCATTCTCAATAGTTCGAGAGGGTGGCGTCAAATATACTAATTAATTAATGCAAACGATATTTTAAGTTAGGAAAGTAGACACAAAAACGTACTTTTTCTGATTAAACCATATCTTTTTTCGACAAATTCGGATGACTGACCCCTAAAATGTAGTAGCTGCTACCTGGAAATATTGTTTTAATAGTTAGTTCAGGAGGGCAGTTTAAAGTTTGGACCCTTAGTTTTTACGTATTTCGCTATATCCCAAAAAAAATCGAAGCGAATTGTAAAAGTTTTGCATACATTTACAAAATTCGTTTTTCTAAAAATAATTTCATGCAAAATATAACTTTTAGTAAATATTTACTATTTTATTTAATGATAGTCGAAATGCTTCAGAAATGCAAGGTATACAATTTTTTCATCATTTGAAATAATGTAATTTTAATTGGTAAAATACAAAGTTTGAGCAAATTCGGTCAAATAGTTCCTGAGAGATAAAAAAAATTCGTATTTCTCGAAATTCGGTCCCCTACTTCCTTAATTTTTTGTGTCTATCTTTTGTGATTTAAAATTCATAGCTATAAAAACAAAAGTAAATTTAAATCATAGAGGAAAGAATATTTTGCGTTGATGTGTTGTAAGCAATACTTAATTAGCTGCATGAAAGGTTATTCATTGCAGGAGCATGCCAATAAGTAAAAAGCATCTGCAGAGCGAAGCAGAAATCTTGGTGGAAAGTCTGCTTTTAGCTCTGCAGAGTAAAGAAAACATAGGCAGACAAACAGCAGCCATACGTGGCAAATTTTTTAAAATGTAAGTTAGTTAATATTCGTTTCTTAGACGCTGATGTAAATGTGAAAATTGAAAAATCATTAAAAATTTTCGCTAAATTGTATGAATTTTATATTTTAAGCCGATGAATTCACTCTTTTTCTCAAATGGAGAAATTAGCATTTTGCCGAACATAGATGTTCACTTTAAAAACATCTTCGGAAAAAAAAGGAATCATAAGGAGAAATTTTTTTTTCTCTATATTTACTTAC